ATTAAAGTTGAACTGTTTACATTCCTACATGGAAAGATGATATTTGCAACTCATGAGACTTTTCTCAGTATTAGGGTAGTTGGAGGGAATATATATAGACAGAGGGTACAGGGTGAGTTGAAGACGAAGGGATGATATCTATCTAAAAAATAAAATTAAGGGGTGAGAGAGGATAATACTGGGAGGAGAAAGGGAGAGGTAGAATGGGGTAAATTATCTCACATGGAAGAGGCAAGAAAAAGCTTTTACAGTGGAAAGGAAGAGGGGGAAGGTGAGAGGGAATGAGTGAATCTTACTCTCATCGGATTTGGCTTAAGGAGGGAAGAACATACACTCAATTAGGTATGGAACTCTATCTTACTATACAGGAAAATAGAGGGGAAGGGGATAGGAGAGGTGGGAATGATAGAAGGAAGGGCAGATGGGGGAGGGGATAAGCAGAAGCAAACATTTTTGAGGAGGGACAAGGTCAAAGGAGAGAATAGAATAAATGGGGTGCAGGATAGGATGGAGGGAAATATAATTAGTTTTGCACAACATGACTATTGTGAAAGTGTTTTGCATGACTACCCATGTATATCAAGTTGCTTGCCTTCTCAGTGAGGGTGAGTAGGAAAGGAGGAAGGGAGAGAAGTTAGAACCCAAAGTTTTAAAAACAATGTTAAAAATTGTTTTTACATGCAACTGGGAAATAAGATTATATAGGCAATGGGGTATAGAAATCTATCCTGCCCTACAGGAAAATAGAAGGGGAAGGGGATAAGAAAGGGAGGGGTGGATAGAAGGGAGGGCAGATTGGAGGAAGGGGTATTTAGAATGCATGCTATCTTGGGTTGGATGGAGGGGAGAGATGGGAAGAAAATTTGGAACTCAAAATATTGTGAAAGTGAATGTTGAAAACTAAAAATAAATGAATTAATCAAAAAAATTGTAAATTAAAAAAAAATAGACCCTTCCCTTAAGGAACTCACCTACTAAGGAGATACCACATGTACACAGGTAAGTAAATACAATATAATTTTAGAAGGGATAAAGCACCAACTGGTGTGTGTGTTTGTGTGTGTGTGTGTGTGTGTGTGTGTGTGTGTGTGTATGTGTGTAAGAGACATCACATAGGAGGTAGTACCCAAACTGAACTGCAGTACAGAGGACCTCAGAGAGAGCTGAAATAACAGCAGTGACCTACAGGGATACAGGTTAACAAAACCTAATCGCTTCTCACAAGGGGAGGAGAACAAATACCAGCAGGAAACAGCCTCTAGGTTGGGCCTCCATTGCCTATAATGGGCAGCACATAGTGGGGGCAAGGCATCTACATTCAGAATGAAGAGACAAACTTCTAGAAAGTTTGTTGTCCGTAGAGCCATGATCAGAACCAATAAAGTGGTCCTAATGAAGTGAATAAAGTGCTGGCCCAGAAATCAGCAAGACCTGAGTTCAAATCCGGTCTCAGACACTTCCTGGCTGTGTGACACTGGGCAAGTCACTTGACCCTGGTTGCCTTAGTTTCCTCACCTGCAAAATGAGCTGGAGAAGGAAATGGCAAGCCACTCCAGTATCTTTGCCAAGAAAACCCCAAATGGGGTCATGGAGAGTCAGATACGACAGAACAATTTTCTACATTGCCTAATAAGGAGTGAGGAATGGGATTGGGGGGTAGTATGTAGGGAACTTAACCCTAATTGTGCTATCTGGCTTCAGGCTTGAGGGGAGGAAGTATGATAATGCCCAGGCTCTGGGGCATACAGGCATCCTGGGGGACTGGGGCTATACATGTCAAACCGGTTTTCACTGGCTCAAATGTCTTGAAGGAAGCTAAGAATTCTAATGTGACCTTTGGGAGCCTGGTCACCTTCACCCTAGGGCATTAGCAGCAATTGCACATATGAAAAATATATAGTTGTTGACTTGTCCTCGGCACAAGGAGGGTTGGTGAAGACAGCCTGACACGGACACCCCAACCTTCCAAATTCTATCGTGTTATGAACATTTGTTACGTGTCTGTGTGGTGCGACCTTGTGTTGTATATGTCAGTGGTTTGCATCTGCGTGTTGCATTTGTTTGGTGTTTATATATAATGGATACAGGTCCATGTGATACATGTGGGTGTATCTGGCAGTGTGTCCTGCCTGTGTTAGGAATGCTCTCTCTGCCCACTATACATTTTGTATCTCACTGAGCATTACTCTGTTGTATCTCTTTGGGCGGGTGTTGTATCTCTGCGTGGAGTGGTGTTTGTGCTGGGTCTGGGAATGAGATGTTGTCTGTGAGGCATTTATTAAGCACCTAGTGTGTGTCAGGGACTGTACTAAGTGCTAGGGAGACAAAGAAAGGCAAAGGACAGTCCCTGCCCTCAAGGAGCTCATAGTCTAATGGGAGAGATAACATGCAAACAACTATGTGCAAACAAGTTGCAGACAATAAATTGGAGCGAATCAAGAGAAAGAAGGCACTAGAATGAAGGGAGATGGGGAAAGGCCTACTGCAGAGCAAAGTGGAAGCTTAATCAATGGTAATTGACTGACTTCAAGGAAGCCAAGAAAGCCAAGACTCAGAGATGAAGATGGAGAACATTCCAGGCATAGGGGACATCCAGAGAAAATGTCTGGAGCTGAGAGATGGAGGGTCTTGTGTGCAGGATATCAGAGAGGCCAGGGCAGTGTTACTGGATCACGGAGTATGTTAGCAAGAAGATTGGAAAGGTAGGAAGGACCTGCATTAGGAAGGGCTTTAAAAGACAAACTAAATTTTATATTTTATCCTGGAAGTGATAGGGACCCACTTTGGAGTTTATTTAATAGAGGCGTGGGTGACATAGTCAGACTTTCATTTTAGGAAAATCACTTTGGCAACTACATAGAAAATGGACTGCAGTGGGGAGAGACCTGTGGCAGGCAGACCCACCTGCAGGCTATATATAGTCCAGGTATGAGGAAGTGAAGGCCTGCACCCAGCAGGGAGGCAGGGTCAGAGGAGAGAAGGGGGAGTATTTGAAAGATACTGTGAAGGTAGAATCTTCTGCAACAGACTAGATGGGGGAGAGGGGGGAGAGGGGGAAGAGTCAAGGATGACACCTAGGTTGTGAGCCTGGGTGATTGGGTCCTTGACAAGAACAGGGAAGTTAGGAAGAGGTTGGGAAAAGGGGTGGGGGTGGGAAGATGAGTTCAATTTTAGACATGTTAAATTTGGGACAGCTAGGTGGCACAGTAAATAGAGTAGCGGCCCTGAAGTCAGGAGGACCTGAATTCAAATCCGGCCTCATACCAAGCACTTGACACTTACTAGCTGTGTGACCCTGGGCAAGTCACTTAACCCCAACTGCCTTAAAAAAAAATAAATAAAGACATGTTAAATTTGTTGTGGTGGTGGTGCTTTGTCCTTCATTCTCGAAGAGGACTGTGGCATCAGGAAGGTGATGTCATGACTTGCAAGTGAATTGGATTTAAGTGAGGGAGGGCTGTGCAAAGTCACCAGCCTCACTTTCTCCTCTGGAGTCATCTGGGTCCAGTGGCCAGATATAGATCAGGATGACTGGCCATGGCCCCCGATGCAGTGGGAGACCTTAGCCTTTTTAAGCTAAGATCTTTCCCAGGTCTCAGTTTGTTTGAAGTAACACTCATTCAGTGGTTAAGGCTAAGTAAGAAATAAGGCAAAGAATGGCCTCTTTAACCTAGTCAAAAAAAAAAAAATCAGTCTGGGAGGGGAAGACCCTCAGAGTTTCTGGCCAAAACAAAACAATTGCTATTTACACTCACTCTGAACCATCAGAACCTAAACAGTGACCAAATGAGGCTTGGGTTGGGCCTATTGCTGGCCAATCAATGAGAGCAAGAGGGATTTGGGTTCTTAAAAAAGAAATCTAGCCCATAAACCCCAAGATATCTTGGGAGGTTTCAATGATCAAAATTTAAATTTCTTTGGGCAGAGCACCCACAGATAAGGGTATGTGTTGTATGGAGGGAAAAGAGAAGATTACTGTATCTCCAGATGTTGTGGCTCTGGTCTTTTGAGAGTGAGAACTGTCTTTTGCTTTTCTTTGTATCCCCAGAGCTCAGTACCATGCCTGGCACACAATAAGTGCTTAAATACTTGTTGACTGACTGACTGATGTCTCAGGATTGTAATTTAGTAGTTATCTAGGCCAACCTCTTCATTTTACCAAAGAGGAAACTGAGGTAGAGCATTGAAGTGAACTTGCCTATGCGCGCTCTCTCTCTCTCTCTCTCTGTCACACGCACACACACACACACACACACACAGAGCTACTAGAAGTATGTGACAAAGTGAATAGAGCACTGGGCTGGGAGTCAGGAAGACCTGAGTTCAAATTCTACCCCAGACAATTACTATCTGTGTGACCTTGGGCAAATCACTTAACCTCTCACAGTCTCAGTTTTCTCCTTGGTAAAAGGGTGGGATGTTGTAGTCCAGGACCTTTAAACTTCCTTCCAACTCTAGAATCCTAAATTTAGTGGCAAAATCTGGAGTGGAACCTAGGTTCTCTGACTCTCAATCCAGCACTCTTTCCAGTGCACCATGTGTGCGTCATGAGTGGTGTGTTGCTCCTTTGTGTGCTGTGCTGGTATTTTGTGCGTTGTCTTTTGTCATGTGTGTTGTGTTGCACTTCTGAACTTCTGTGTTGCGGTTGGTATGTCGTCTTTTGTGTCAGTGGGCTGTCTATTCCGCTATGTGTGTTGCGTTGCGCCTCTGTTCTCTGTGAGTTTTTGCTTTGGGTGTGACCTCAGGCTCTGCGATAGCCTCTCCGGGTGGCTGGAGGTGTGCCTGTGTTTGTGCTGCGCTTGCATCTCCCCGCCTGGCTCGGTGGCTCGGGACAGAACTACAACTCCCAGCAGCTCCCGCGGCCGGCCGCTGGGGAAGACGTGGAGGATCCTTGGGACCAGACCGGACCATACCTCTGCCGGTTGGGCGCTGGGGTTGCAGATGCGGCGGCGGCGGCAGCAGCAGCGAGGGTAGCGGCGGCTGCATCATCGCCCCGGGCCTCTGCGCGGCTTGGCGGGGGCGGCTGGGCTCTGGGGCGATGGGCAGCGGCTGGAGCCAGCGGGACTCGCGCAGGTGAGCAGGGGCGAACCAGCCCTCATCCCCACCTTCCCCCTCCCGGAGGAGGGGTCTTAATGCATCCTCCTGACACCCCGGGGTGGAGTGGGGGTACACTTCGGGGCGGGGCCTAATGAGGAGAAGACGAATGCCCTAGAAAAACTGAGCATCTCCAAGCGCGGGGCCAGGGCAGAGCCAGAGCCGTACTGGGGGGCCTGTTCATGTTGAGTGTATCCGTCCATCTTTGGGAGCCAAGATTGAATTTGGGGGAGAGGATGGGGGGCTTGTGTCCCAAAGGAGGATCCCAAAGCACTCCGAGAAGGGAATGTCCTCTTGGCCCCATTCATAAGGTAAGGAAGTTGGCACGGCAAAGAGCTGTCAGTCAGTAAGCATTTATTAATTCCTGGCTATGCACCCGGCACCCTGGGAAGCACTGGAGATACAAAGAAAGGAAAAAGACGGTCCCGTTCTCAAGGAATTCAGTTTAATAGGGAAGACGATATTTAAACACCTGAACAAGCAAACCTATGGACGATACTATTGCAGATAATGAATATGGTATGGTTAATTCTTGTTACTTTCTCCAAGCTAAATCCTATATCCAGACTAGGAGCTAGACCAGCTGGGCTCTGTCCATACAAGGGGCAGGCCTGAAGAGGTTACGCAAATCAACCTGAGCCTTATTCTCTTGGCCTTTCCCAGAAAGTATAATTAACCCAGGCCTGCCCTTTTAGCTTGTAAGAGCTTCCAGAGGGGTGATGCCCTGAAATCCAGGCACTCAGCCTCAGAGACTTGTCAGCTTTCTTCTCCCTCCCCCATCCCAGTATCTCCCACAAGGGTGTTCAGTCAGGTGTGGGGCTCATGGCTGGAGGAAAACCCAGTTTAGCCTTTCACCTCTATGTCCTGCCCATGTAGTCAGATGTGTGGCATCGCTGGATCAGAGACCCCCCCCTCCCCCACGACTTCCTTTGAAGATCAGAGCCATTTTCTTTCCTTCATCCCGTCTAAGCTTTGTGTACTGGGAGTGGGTGGCCAAGCAGTCCGGGATGCTAGGCCCCCTGGGCCACTAGTATTACCGGGGGCCAGGGAGAGACCCAGCAGATCTTTTCTGTGAAGTCTCTGAGACACACAGGAAAAACGACCCAGAGACAGAGTCCACACCTTCCACCAGCTTCCTGTTCTAGAATTGAAAGCCCCTTCCTGTCCATTGTACTTTCCTTGGGTCTAAGTGAAATCCCACCTGTTGTAAAAGAGGCCGACGCCTGTTCTCTTAATCACTCTCGTCTGCTCTTCTTCCCACCTCTGAACTGACTAGGAGAACCAAAGGCTATGTCCCCTTCCCCCAACCAGCTCCATAGCAGTGTGTGTCCAGAGACGTTCCCTGCCAAGGGACTAATGCTGTGTCCGGGAGGTTCAGTCATCCGCCCCATCAGCAGATTCTCCAGGAGGCTGGACCATGTGGCCTTGTGTGAGGACCCAGGCTCCCCAGGCACTGTTCCTTTGTTTGGGTTTGTGCTCCCAAGAACAGTGTGTGCCCTCCCATTCCATCAGGTTCTCCCTGGAAATGGGCTCCACTGGCCTTCCAGGGTAATCCCTTCCTGCCTGATGCAAGGGTTTTCAGAATCCTGGCAGTGAGTCCTGACTGAAAGGTGAAAGGGCAGAGTGTCCAGAGCCTGGACCTGAGCCAGGTCATCAAGAAGGCAGGGAGGAGAGAGTAGGAAATGGAGAGGTTCCGGAATAGCTTTGACTCTGACATTCTTCCCTTTGTTAAAGCCCCCATCTGTAAAAAGAGGATGAAAATAGCCAATGAAAATGCACAAGATAAGATAATGCACGTGAAGGCTAGGGAAGTGTGAGTCATTATTTTTTGGACCGGACCTGTGATTTCACTGGGGCAGGAAATTCCAGATCATGAAACCCAAGCCTGCTCTGCAGCTTTCCACCTTCCCGGGTTGCCTGGGTCTTACAGGGGTGAAGCCACTTAACTTAACTCTGGGGCTGGCTCACTCTCCCAGTAACTCTGGAAGGTCACTCTCCTTAGGCTCCCTGCAAGCATCCTCAGTACAACTCTCAGGGCAGCAGATGGGACCACCGCCTGACATCTCAGCCGTTCTCTAAGGGAGCTTGGAGATTATGAGTATCTGGGATAGCGACATTGAATAAAAACATTGCTCCTGTGTTTTTATGAATCAGTGTTCCATCCTGGCAGTTGTGGGCAGCAGTTCGATCTGTGGTGATAGTGTATTTCCAGGACAATTTGGTTGAGTTCTCAGAGATCTTTTGAAGTCAATAGTTGAAGTGTGGGACCTTATCAGTCCGTGAAGGAAAATGAGCTGCTGAGGTGGAATTCTGGCCACTAGGTATTCAGTACTAGATGCTAAATTTATAATCTGTGATGCTGGATGGGCTTCCTGGGGTCAGGAAGATTTGAGTTCAAATCCCACCTCAGACACTTAGAAACTGTGGGACTCTGGGCAAGTCACATAACCTTTGTTTGCCTCAGTGTCCTTATCTGTAATAATAGAGCCTACCTCCCAGGATTGTTGTGAGGATCAAGTGTGATACTATTTGCAAAATGCATTTCAAACCTTAAAGCACGATGTCAATGCTAGCTATTATTACGAATGTGTTTCAGTCTCCACCATTTCTTTTCACAGTCTGTGTCCTGACTTCCGTTAATCTAATCCCTTTTCTAAATGACTTCACCCATCCCAGCTGTCCTCTACCTGAGAGAGCATCTAATCTAATTCTCTCATTTTATTTTGGGGGAAGCAGGGGCCCTTAGAGGCTTCCACCTGAGAGGTGGAATCATCCCATTTTATTGTTGGGGAAACTGAGACTCTTAGAGGCCATCTAATCTTTTCATTTTATAATGGGGGAAATCGAGGCCATCTAATAGAATCTTCTCATTTTATAGGGGGGACAGGGAACACTAAAGCCCTGAGAATGAGTCAAAGAGAAATGGGAGCTCCATAAAGAGAAAGACTGCCTCCCTTCTCATCTTTGGAGCTCCCTTATTTCTGTGTGAGGAGGAACCCTTTCCTGGCCACAGCCCACTGTCTTTGAGATCATAGCTGTGTGCCAGCCTCAGTGATGTGTGCCTCAAGGAGCTTACATTCTATCAAGGGGAAACAACACATACTTGTACAAGTACACACACACATACACACACACACAGGTTTTAAAAAGGTTCTTTGGGAGGGAAGCCTTCATCCTTAGAGGATCAGGAATTGGAGCAGAACTTTGAAAGAAACTAGGGATTCTCAGTGACCTAGTTGAGGAGGGAGGGCATTCCAGGCATGGAAACAGCCAGTGCAAAGGTATGGAGGTGGTAGATGTAATGTCATGTGTGAGGAACAGTGAGGAGGACAGTTTGGCTATACTGTAGAGTGTGTGAACGGCAGTGCATATAATAGGCCCAGAAAAGTAGGCTGACACCAGATTGGGAAAGACTATAAATACCAAAGAAGGGTTTGTCTTTGATCCTAGAGGTGATAGGAGCTCATGCATAAATGTGCTGATCTCTAGGTAGGGAATGTGTCCTGGGCAGCATCCAGGTAATATTAAATAATTAATATGGGGCAGCAAGGTGGTGCGGTAGAGAGTAACCCGAATTAGAGTCAGGAGGACCTGAGCTCAAATCCAACCTCAGACACTAGCAGGTGACCTTCAGCAAGTCACTTGACCCCAATTGCTTCCACAAAATAATAATAAAAATATGCATTTGCTAAGTACTTACTGTGTGTCAGGAACCTAGAATCATCATATTAATATTTTTATGCAACCAACAAGCATTTTAAAAGTACTTACTATGTGCCAGGCACTTCTGTGTGATGGAGATACAAAGAAGGAAACAATCCCAACTGGAAAGGAGTTAATGTGGGGAGATCACAAATACCTACATAAGTAGATAGAAAGAGCATTTTTTAAAAATTCAGTGTTATTTTATTTTCGGTTTTGAATTCTTTCTCTCCTCAGCCCACTGAGAAAGCAAGAAAAACCTGTCACAAATATGTTTGGTTATGCAAAATAAATTGCCACATTAGCCATGTCCAAAAATAAAGAAAAAAAAGAGAAGAAAACATGCTTCAATCTACAGTCTGAGCTCAACACTTCTCTGTCTCACATGATTCCTCATGAGTCCTCTGGAACTGTGGTTGGTCATTCCGTTGATTAGTTACTAAGTCTTTCAACGTGGATTATTGTTACAGTATTGCTAATGCTGTGTAAATTGTTCTCCTGATTTGCTCACTTTACTTTGCATCAGTTCGTGCGAGTCTTCCCAGACTTTTCTGAAAAGATCCCCTTCATCATTTCTTACAGGACGATAATATTCCGTCATATTCATATGCACTTGTTCCACCATTCCCCAATTTTATTTCTTCCTCTAAAAACTAACAGTTCATATCCTTTGACCATTTATCAGTTGGAGGATGGCTCTTATTTTTATAAATTTGGGTATATTCTCTATATATTTGAGACATGAGGCCTTTATCAGAGAAACTTACTGCAATGTTTTTTCCTACCAGTTGCCTTCTTGTCTTCTAATGTTAGCTGCATGGTTTTGTTTGTACAAAAACTTTTCAATTTGATTTAATCGAAATTGTTCATTTTGTCTCCACTGAACTTCCCCATCCCTTATTTGATCATGAACTCTCCTCCTATAATTTCCTCCATGTTTCCTTAATTTGCTTATGATGTCACCCTTTATATTTAAATCGTGTTCTTGTTTTGAGCTTATCTTGTACATACGGTGTGAGATCTTGGTCTGTACCTGGGATGGGGAACTTGTGGCCTCGAGGCCACGTGTAGCCCGCTGGGTCCTCAAGTGCTGCCCTTTGACTGAATCCAGACTTCCCAGAACAAATCCCCTTAACAAAAGGATTTGTTCTGTAAAACTTGGACTCAGTCAAAAGGCTGCACCCAAGGACCTAGAAGGCCATATGTGCGCTCCAGGCTGCAGGTTCCCTACCCCTGGTAGGTTTGGGCAGACAGCTTTCTGGTTTTCCCAGTGATTA